AAAACAAAACAAAGGATCAGCAATGTTTTAAGCAAAAAATCAAAAGATCACTTTGGTCTTCTATTAGTTCAATCCATGCAGTTAACTCCTGTCCTGCTTGATATTTATTAACATTTCAGCTTTTCATGAGAGCCCTGAAAGTTTTTTTATTTATTCTAATGTCATAATCCCCAACGTTATCAGAAACCTGCATTCAAGAACACCTGTCAGAGTCCTTTAGCTGACTATAAACCACCTTTTAAATAGGACTAAAATAAGACAACTGTTGGTGGATGACAAAAATTTCTCAGGGCAGCCACAGTCAAAAAACATGATTGACAAAGAAATTTGATTACCTTGGTGGCAATGTTGACAATGTTTCCTGTATGATTTTTATACCAAATAAGCCAAATGTCATTTTTATATTAGTGTACTATTAATGTTAAACCCTATCCTTAATAAAACTTTATAGATATATCCACCCAATTTTAATATTTGACTTAAGGTAAGATTCTTATACCTTTTATAACCCTTTACAAATTTATGTTAAAAAGCAGATTAGTGCTCTAAGGAAAACCAGCTGTTCTTTTATTCCAGTGTTCAATTTATAAAAAAAACTGAATACCCCTTTAACTTTAGCCAGTATGTTCACACACAGAATTTCTTTTACGAGATTAATTTGTCACAAGCCTTTCACAGCTCACTCAAACCTTCAAGTGTTTGAGTGTCTAATTTCAAACAATCCTTTAAACTCTTAGGCAAAAAAATCCATATTACTATGACTTCTTATAATATTTTACCAAAAATGCATTTCAGTTTCTTTACACACTTTGCATGTAAAACTGTTTCTTCAGTTGTCTCAATAACATATTACAATGTTAGCTTTTAGCAATTTTTACTTTTGGTGGAAAACCTGGTTAGTAAGCGATTTTAATTATGTACTAGGTATGGAGCCTAGGACAACAGATAAGATGTGACTTTTTCAAGCATAGCTAGGGGGCATGGCTAACACCACATGTCCCCAGGTCTTATCTAGAATCTAATGCTCTAAAGTAGGTAAATTGAACAATTTTCAAAAGTCAAAGAAGCAATTTATGACCTTAAAGCATTTAGTAAACTTAATATCTGACCTGTAAAATTTAGACCAAATGTGTTTATTTTATCAATAATCTTTAAAACTCTGTTTATTTTCCAAAGATTACTTAAGTCACATGTACTAAAAGGCATTACACTTCTTACTTTTCTGACAAAATATTTGATTTAAGCTCTTATTTTTAAACTAATTAAAGATATTAAACGTATCTCACACACACACACAAAACACATAAATATACATACAGGAGAAGATTCAGTAATTGTAAGACTTTTCATTTGCCAGTTTCTAAGTTTCTCTTTAAGGCATGCAGTTTCTAGGGCTTAACTTGCAGGCACAGCTGGAAGGCAAAACAGATATACAAAATTAACGATCCCATTTTTATGCCAGATCCTGAATCCCAAAAAGAGGGAATCAGCCCATCTCCATGGGAGTCTTATCTCTCAGTGGTGGGTGGGGACTTTTTTTTAACCTTCTAGGTTGCCAACAGCATGCTTCTCTGATCTAAACATGCAAAAAGCCACATATTCCCCAATAACTGCCATTAGCCTTCCCCAAAAGTATATTTCCTACCTAGTTATTACACACCAAAGTTATCTCATAATACTAAGCAATTTCTGACTCCCCAAAAGTAAAAAACATTGGATAATGCAATGCAAAACAGAATAGAACCTTAGATTTTTAAAGGAATCTATCCACTTCCAATTCCTGGGGTTTCATGAAGAAAACGGGTTTTTCCCAAAACCCAGTCTGTGGTGCCTCCTCTGTTTTTCCCAAGGAGTCTCATGCTGTTAGAGCTTGAATATCCACTTAAAAATAAGCTAACTTTTAACCATAGCACTCTTTTTAAAAAGTCCTTTTAAATCTCTTCTTCCTGAACTTTAGCCAGGCCAAATGGCCAATATTCCTGTCTTCTGAGCTTTACCAAAGGAAACCTCCCAGGTGCTCAAAGAAAGGAAAAATTTAAGAAGTGAAGCCGGAAGTTGTTCATCATGGAGGGGAAGAGAATCTACAAATGGCAAAGGTCACACAGATATCAAACTGGAAAAGACTCATTCCCTAATCCCGGAATTGAACCTGGGCCACCATTGTAAAACAGTGAAGCCTCTGATGCTGAGCTACAGCATTGGGCAGTTTCCATTGCCCTTCCCAGAAGGAGCCTAGAGCAGCCAATTTTGAGCTTGCAAAGGCTTTTAACTTTTCAAGATAATTTTTAGTGCTAACCATGACATGAATTCCAAAGTTCCTGTTCTCTGGAAGGTGGAGACCAAGAGAAAGTACTGCCACATAGTTAAAAGGTCAAGCTCCCAAGGAAATAAAACAAGATGAGAGGGAAACGTTACCAGTTTTTTGTTTTTGTTTTTGCTTTTTTTTAGGGACCTGCAGCAAAGTTTTAACTGACCAGTTTGCTGGGCCGGCTTGAACAGCGTGCTTACAGGAGTCCTAAGCCTGTGTTCTATCCTAAGGTACCCCTCTCCATTATAGAACAACACAGAAAGACAAATTTATAGCACAAAGTACAGATTTTCACTACAGCTTAAGACTAGCCTCACAATTCCTTTTTCCGATTAATCAAAACTTGATAGAGTTTTGGCTACTTCAGATCTCCTTAGCCACCTACTTACATACCAGTTCAGATAATATTAGTCTGTTGGTCCAGGTACAGAAGAATAAAAATTCATTTAGGCCTAATTTTGTTAATTACACTCTCACAGGGCAATTTTATTTCTCTTATATTCTTACTTGATCTCTCACCTTCTCTGTCACCTTCATATGCTACCCATGGTGTTACTTTCCTCCCTTCATTCTCTTCACAGGCCAGACTCTTGGATTTTTAGAGAGCAGATTTGTATTTATAACCCAAGGCAGGGATACCTATAAGCTTCAGGTCAAGCATTTTTATAGCTACCAACCCCTTGAATAATTTCTGAATACGATTCTATAAAATATTCACAGAGTACAGTCTAAGTCTGACATTTTAAACACAAAATATGCCTTCAATGAATGCTGACTGTAATGATAACATAGTCATTCACTGAGTTTTCTTTTTTTTTTTTTTCCATTTCATCACAAAACCAGATGAGATACACAAGGGATGGAAAAAAACAACTGTGTTCTTTCTCTGCGGAGACTGTAGTTGACAGTGATGCAAAAAAACAAACAATTAACCTTTCTGAAAAGCCCGGTTGGTCCTAAACTAATTGCTTCCTCTTCTTTTCAACCTTGGAGCACTCTGGGCCCTGTTGTCTCTAGAGCTTTCAAGATGGAGGGAAGACCTAGAGCAAATCCAAAGAATACGCACTGACCTGAGCAGCTTCTTAAGAGGGGGTTGGCTCTAGGTCTGTAGGAAGCAGTTCAGTTCTGAGTCATTTCAGCAAAGTTCTGGTTTGGTGTACATTGTATAGAACAAACACATGGGGGTTTGTGGAAGTTGAGAAGGATCTAGACAAGATCCTCTCCTTTCAGATCTCCTGAGATTTAGGGGTCAGCCTGACCTTATGGTTACTGGGAAGCCCCAAAGTAGCCTTTAAGTATGTATCTAGTTATTCCTGGAAGCCTTACTAGAGGCAAGCAAACCAAGTGTAACTTGCAGGTAGACTGTAGTTCATAGCTCTGGGGGGAAGCTAAGGGACAGCATCATGGGATGATACCCAATCACAAAAATCAGGTAGATTACCCAAGAAGTCATCATTCTTAAGCAGTTTTAGAGAGAGAATCCAGGTAACAAACCCATGAAAGAATGTGCTCAAGAGTTAGGATGAGAGTCAGGGCCTGGTGAACTTTTTATGTTGACAAAGGGGTAGTTTTAAAACATCTATTTTACAATATATGTTATGTACCTGGAATAATTCGCAAACAACCATGTACATCAGGAGATATAAGCACTCATTTTGGGAGTAAAACATTACCCAATGCATTGAAGCCCCTGTGTTCTCCCCTGTAATTGAATACCTGTGTCCCCCAGAGGTAATCATGATCTTGAATTTCCTTATTTGCCTATATTTATACTATGAATGTATGTGTTTCCAAATTTTATATATATGTATATATTTGCAAGTTATACAATTCATGTGTGTGTGTATATATATATATGCTATCATTTTTTCATGAATTCTTGCACAACGTAATTTTTTTGGTTTTTAAGAGACAGGGTCTCACTCTTTTGCCCAGGCTATAGTGCAGTGGCACAATCTCAAAGCTCACTACAGTCCTGGGCTCAAGTGATCCTCCTGCCTTAGCCTTCCAAGTACCTGGGACTACAGGTGTCTGCCACCATGTCCAGCTAATTTTTAAATATTTTGTAGAGACATGGGTCTCACTATGTTGCCCAGGCTGATCTCAAACTCCTGGCCTCAAGAGATCCTCCCACCTTGGCCTTCCAAAATGTTGGGATTACAGACGTGAGCCACCACACCCAGCCTGTAACTTAATTTTTTTATTCAGCTGTGTTTGTGAGATCTATTTAGGTTGATGCATGTAGCAGAGGTTCATATTTGTTTCAACAGCAGGGCTTTCTATGCTATGGGCCTAGTTTCGGAAGGGAAGGAAGAAAGAAGGAGGGAGCCACTTAAAGGCCCTGACCTGTTATAGGCAGTCCAGATTGTGCACTTAGTGTCCCAAAGTGGTGACCCAATTCACCCATCAGTCAGCTGCAAGAGTGGCGATGTGATGCAGCTGGCAGAGGAAGCTAATTATAATGGAGAAAACTGAATTTGCATAGAGAACCAGGAATCAACTAAATACAAATAACACTTCCTGGTTAAAAAAACACCAAATAAGGATTTAAAAAATGCATGTTTACTGTTTTAAAAAATAGTTTTTTGAGTTAGATACAGCAAAATTTCAAAATTAGGCAGTTTTACAAGTGCTATGGGAAAAATAGCCTAATTAAACTTTTCTCTCCTCTTTTTTTTCTCCACCGTCTTAGTGTTTTCTGCATTCTGTCCCAGCGGATCTGATTCCTGTTCTGAAGAACTGATGTTCAGCATCGTTAGTTAAATTCAGCTGCTGCCTGACTGTACACCACAGCAAAGGCTTTGGAGACATTTCACAGTTAAAACTATAATGAGTTTCTTGGAGTGTAATCCCAGTGGAGGCTGTTCTACATATAGCCTGAAAGAATACTTAACTACCATCAGCAATTCTGCAGAGACCTTGTAAAAAACACACTTTACACCAAACAACTGAGTGATTCTGAGTTGGTTGGGGGAACCTTAGTTGTAGATATCAATTTACCTTCTTGAAGATTCAACCACTGCTACTCAGAGAGCTGCTGCTGAAATACCATGTCTAAGAACTCAGAGTTCATCAATCTGTCATTTTTATTGGATCATGAGAAGGAAATGATCCTGGGCGTCCTAAAGAGAGATGAATATTTGAAAAAAGTGGAGGACAAGAGAATAAGGTAGTATTCTTTTTATTTTTTCAGTCCTCCTTGACTGCTTTCTGTTTGTTTGAAGCAATTTGGATCAGAAATGGGCCAAGTGCAACCACACTGGGGACAGAGGTCAGTTAGGAACTTCATGAGTTCTCAGCAGTAGCCCAAATATCAGAAAACTTTGGTGTTTCACCATTTAGCCAGACATGAAAATGAAATTTAGCTAATAAAATGGTGTTGATGAGAACACTTAATTTGCTAATAAAGTCATAATTTTTAGTTAAAAGGAAGGACTACCCAAGTTTGAGTACCAGCTCTGGCAAGTATTAGTTGTGTGACTTTGAGCAAGCTACTCAACTGCCCTGTGCCTTGGTTTCCTCGTCGGTAAAACAAAGATAATAATAGTACCCACCTCATAGGGTTGTTGTAAAGATTAAGGAAGTTTGTACATATGTAGTGCCTGTCACCTAAGTGTTCAATAAATGTTAGCTATTATTTATTTGTAATGCCTTTGTCAGATCAGTCTTACTGGGGATTTGCCTCCAGGACAGCTGGGAGAAGAAAGGGACCTGGAGAGTAAAAAGTTCCCATCATACCCCAGAAACCACTGAATTTTTAAAAACAAGTTTCTTGTGAAGAAAGTTGAATAATATGGGCACAGCTGAGTTTCATATCTACTGTAGGCAGAGCTCATATTTAGCTGGTTTCCTGGGTATGACTTCACCTACTATTTCAGCCAGCATCAATTCTGATTGGTTGCGTCGCCTGCTCTAATTGGTCACATCATTGTTCTGATCATGCACAAGATCCACTGTGATTGGCTGCTGCCTGTACTGTCTTTGTTTTAAAATATATTTGGTCATTACACGTCACCCCAGAAAAAAAGGAGCAGAAACAGAGTTCCCTCCTCAGTCACCGCCAACTATAGAATGTGTAGGTTTTTTGTCTTGTATGGCTCCCCAAGTTGCAATCAGAAGCTTATGTTTATTTTACCTGAGGAGAAAACTTGTCATATGATTATCTTCACATGTTGAAAAAATCTTTAATGTGCCTAAAGCCACTAGGATCTTAAGAAATGGAAATACATCTAAATATTCTTGATTTATGTTTATTTCACAGGTAAGAGCCCAGAAGCTTCATTTCCATTTTTCCAAGATATTCAACTAATCTTGAAGAAACAAAAGTTTTGATGAAAATTATTGCACTTTTTCTATGCATACAATTCAGGTGGCAACAAAATGTAGTTAATGATTTTAAAGAAATCATGAATAGTATTTCTGACATTAGTAGTCATGAAAAGTAACTAATTTGTGCAATGCACTGCCAAAAAGAATTATGTTGTTTATAGGGGTGACATATTAACTAGGAATTGATGACATTCTAAGGGGAATTAATAATCATTTCTGGCTGGAGTGGTGGCTCACACCTGTAATCCCAGCACTTTGGGAGGCCAAGGTGGGCAGATCGTGAGGTCGGGAGATGGAGACCATCCTAGCCAACATGCTGAAACCCCGTCTCTACTAAAAATACAAAAATTAGCAGGGTGTGGTGGCACACACCTGTAGTCCCAGCTACTCGGGAGGCTGAGGCAGGAGAATCACTTGAACCCAGGAGGTGGAGATTGCAGTGAGCCAAGATCTCGCCACTGCACTCCAGCCTGGTGACAGAGTGAGACTCTGTCTCCAAAAAAATATTATTTCTATAGGAATAAACAATTTAATAACCAGATGCCCAGAAACATTGAAGTTCAATTTAATAACCAGATGCCCAGAAACAATAAAGTACAATGAATAGGACTTTGTTCAGAATATTTGTTTCTGTCATTATCAATAACTTGTATTAATAATTTTTGGCCAGGCATGGTGGCTTACATCTGTAATCTCAGCGCTTTGTGAGGCTGAGGAGGGTGGACCACCTGAGGTCAGGAGTTTGAGACCAGCCTGGCCAACATGGTGAAACCCCGTCTCTACTAAAAATACAAAAAATAGCCAGG